CCTTCATTTCTGCCTCCTAAGAAAGATAGTACTAGTATTTTTAATCATTTTGGTCATAGACACCTTTGAGAATTTGGAGTCACAAACCCTCTCCTCAGAAAAAAAGGTATATTAAGATATAAATTTCATAAATTTTCCAAGAGTTCATGGACCTCCCTTTAACTCATCCATGTACCCAACAGAAATCTGCAGACTTTGGGTTAGGAGTTCCTGTTCAGCCTTCAGATTGGCTGGAAAGGGTTCTGCTCATGTAAGACTGGAAATGGCAGGCAGAGAGCTCACTAAGAGCACTATAGAGTGCTCTCAGTATTCCTACTCCATGGCCATGCAATTCCAAGTCCCATTCACTGTGCCTATTAACCTTTGAACTGGCTAACCTAGAGTGCCACTGAGCTACTTAAGCTTTGGGATCCTGATTATTAGCACAATTACCCACAGCCTCCCCACTCAGGAAGGCAAGAAAGCTGCGGAAAGTGAATTCAACTCCTGATGGTGAGTGTGTTTTTTTTAACTCCAACTTTGATTTAGTTTGAAAAATCTGAACTGTGACTTCTGCCAACTAGCTAATGCTAATCACTGTTATTGCAGGGAGGCAGCTATGAAAATGTCATCTATAGTTCAGGAGGAATACAGCCCTCGTGAAATTCCAGCTTGGTCTAGCTATGATGATGAAAACAAGCACGTGACAGACACCAGCAGCAACGGGAAATAACACCACTTAAAGACAGAGAATTGACAGTGAAAGAGTCAACATAAAATAGTGAAGAGAAAGTAGTATAATCTTCAACTCAAACAGAAGAACAAAAAATCTAGGATTTGGTGATTTCATTTGATGCAAATATTTTTATTAGCTGGATCTCAATTGTATAAACAGCAGCAAATCATCTCCTGATTCTTATTCCAACTATAAATGTTTTTAAATACATCATTAAATCTTCTGTCTAATAATCATGATTTTTAAAAAGTCAAATCAAGTATTGCTGCTATATGAGTTTTCCATGTACATTTGCTTTAATCAAACCAATAATTTGATGAGATTATAAAATCTGAGGGTATAGTTATATGAAATACTGAGATATGTAATATTTTTTTTTTACAAGAAATTTAGAAGCTTTTCTTTAGAAAAGAAAGCAGAGGTGGCCTCAGAAACCAGAGAGATGGAACCAGGGCAAATGACTTTAAGGATCTGTGAAGCTTTATTGTAAAAAACATAAACATACACTTAAAAAACAACAACACATTTTTATTTATTTCAGAGAGGAAAAGAGGAGAAAGACATCAATGATGAGAATCATTGATCTGCTGCCTCCCACACACCCCACACTGGGGATCGAGCCTGCAATCTGGGTATGTACCCTGACCAGGAACCAAACATGGAACCTCCTGATTTATAGGTTGGGGCTCAACCACTGAGCCACGCCAGGTGAGCAACATACATTTTTAGAGGAAATAAGGCTTTCTTATGGTTTCCAGATATTTAACAAGACAGAACTGAATGCCAAATGACCGACTCATCTCAACAACTAATTTAACTGCTAGAAGCAAATTAAATTGAAGCAGGAACTATCTGTGAATAGAAAGAATGTCCCTGCAATGTCTCAGATAAATTTCTTTTTAATCAGATTTGCACAAAAGGGATATTTTAAAACTATGTTATCCGAAAAAGGGTGCTCTCCCAATTTTATGCTAAGAGATATAGATTATTTATAACATTATTTAATATCATGTAGACTGATATTCAGAGTTCAGGGGAGAGCTCACTGTTCTGATTGCCCCAAAGAAGTTGTGTCGGTAATATTAAATCAGTATTTTAACCCTATTTCCTCCGTTACTTATTTGTTAAGTGGGGCTCATCACTATCCTTTTGTATCCCACAAATTTGAAGGATAATATTTAAGGAAAAGGATATAAATTATTTTGAAAAGTTTTTAAAAGGGCTCAACTGGTATTATTGTAGGGTAATCTATATTAGCTAAATAGTTTTAATAATTCTCCCTTTTAGCTTGATTTTGAAAGTTTTTGAAATTAAGTAATATCACTTAGCTGTAGAAATGGTTCCTGAAAGTGGACAGCAGGGGAATCAGCCGAAAAGGAAGTTTTAAGACCTGAGCCAAAAGATTTAAGATGATTGTTCTGATGGTGATTTTTAAACTACATTTGGAGATTTCTGGCAGCTACAAAATAGCTGGCTTCTGCCCTGGCTGGGTAGCTCAATTGATCAAAGTATTGTCCCAACAACTCAAGGTTGTGAGTTTGGTCCCTGTTTAGGGCACATACAAGGGACAATGAATGAATGCATAAATAAGTGAAACAGCAAATCAGTGTTTCTTTCTCTCAATTAAAAAAAAAAAAAATTAGCCCTAACCGGTTTGGCTCAGTGGATAAAGTGTTGGCCTGTGGAGTCAAGGATCCCAGGTTCGATTCTGGTCAAGAACATGTACCTTGATTGAGGGCACATACCCACTAGGGGGTGTGCACAAGGCAGCTGATTGATGTTTCTCTCTCATTGATGTTTCTGACTCTCTCTCCTCTCCCTCTCCCTTCCTCTCTGTAAAAAATCAATAAAATATATTTTTTTAAAAATTTAAAAAGTTGGCTTCTGACCCCTAAATGTTTCAAGCACACCGCTGGAGAGACCTATTGCTGCTTTCTTCAGCAATAACACTTGTACGGGGAAGACCAGAGTAAGGATTGACACACCCTGTTATGTTCTCTATTAAGCAGAGTGTTTAACTCCAAAACTCTTTGACCAAGATACTCTTTTAAATAACGAGAGTCCTGGCCATGTGGCTAGTTGACTGGGTGTCCTCCCATGAACCAAAATTTTGTGGTTCAATTCCTGGTAAGGCACATGTCTGGGTTGATGGCTTGATCCCCAGTAGGGGGTGTGCAGCAGGCAGCAAATCCATATTCTGCTCTAATATCTGTTTCTTTTTCTCCCTATCACTTTCTCTTTCTCTAAAAAAAAAAAAAAAAATCAATAAAAAGAACAGGAGTTACATTTGTTCTTCATGGGAAGACAAACTTTATAGCTACAGAAATGAAAGAAAAGGTGTAGGTGTTAGAAAAAAGTTGATTATGAAAAGGAGATCAAGAAGTAGAGTGAAGAGGGGGTGAAATCTTCAAGTTCTCAGTGCAAAGTCCTCAGGGTATCCAAATTATTTCTTAGGTCTCAGCTCTTAAGCATTTGATATATATCAGTCTTTGTTTAAGAGAGCAAAATATGGAAGCTTTCCCTTTCTGTTTAGACTTATGTGATCCAAATTATTATAATTCTTTTAATAATTTTAAATACAGTTGACTAATGTTATCCTCATGATCTTTTTGGCAATTGTTGACTAAGTTCATAAACTTTATTTTTAGTCATGAAAATGTTTATATAATTGCATGAGAGTGAAAAAGGATAAAAATTGTCTCATTGACTCTCTGTTTCCTCTACTTATTACACACACACACCACAACCACAACAAATATACTAACATATATCATCCAAACTTATACTAATTTTGATTTCACAAAGGGTAAACTAAATGGAGACTTGGAGATATTCCACAAAGCAAACTTTGTTTCACAAGTAAGTTAAAAAACAGACAACTATAAATAAGTGAAATGTTAAAAAAGAGAGACTATTATAAATCACACTATTTGGAAAGGTATATCAGAAATTAGTGTTTAAGAACTGATGTATCCTAATCATAAAAAAAATCTATTCTACTAGTCTTTCAGTGTTAATTTAAATGCTCTAGGAGTAGACAAATAAGGTTTGAAAGAACGAGAATTCATAAAATAGCATCATATAATACACACTGTTATAAAAGGGAGAATCTATCTTCAAAATAGTTGAATGTTTCTCTTCCACTAACAAGTTATGTCTTAAATTATGCAAAACAAATGAAAAATCAGTAGCAATTACATCATATTTATGATGTGTTTTATTCACAACTTAAATTTACTTTGCTGTCATAATAAATACAAGTAAAAAACATTACATAAGAGCTATGGTACAAAAAATTCTGAAATCACACTATTTGGAAAGGTATATCAGAAATTAGTGTTTAAGAACTGATATATCCTTCCCCTTCCCCCTATTACCTATGTCTTTGTATAATCTCTTGAGAATGAGTGGAAACTGTGAATATGGTGAGACATCACTCCCATAATTATGCTATATTACATGACAAAACAAAGATTATCCTGGGTAGGCCTGACCTAATCAAGTGAGCCTTTTAATAGCAGAGTTCTCTCACATGGCTGCAGAAGAGGCCAGAAGTATTAGAAGGACTGAATGCATCATTGCTGCCTAGAAGATGATCAGGGCCACGCGAGAAGGGATATAGTTGGCCTCTAGAAGCTGAGAGCAAATGCCGACTGACAGCAAGAAAACGGAGGCCTCATTTAGTCACAGGGAACAAGATTTTGCCACCAATAAGAATGAGCTTGGAAGATTTATTTTATTTTATTTTACCAGAGCAGTCAGATGAGAACTAAGTCCAGCCAGCATCTTGAGTTCAGCCTGATGGGTATCCTGAATGGAGAATCTAACCAGGCTCTTACCTATAGAACTGTGAGCTGATAAATGGGTGTTATTTTAAGTCGGTAAGTTTGTAAGTAATATTTTACAGAGAAATAAGAAAACTAAAACAACAGGTAAATACAAATTTTGACACCCCCCCAAAAACAAACAAACCACAATTCAGTACTCATTCAATTTGTTATTTTCAATATTTATATGAACAGTGAAATTTGCATTTTTGTAGCTGTTGATGTACTAATTATTAAAATTATAAATACAACTCAAACTATTCCTTTTTTTAAAAAAAGAGAGGGAGACATAGAAACATCAATGATGAGAGGGAATCATTGATTGGCTGCCTCCTGCACACCTACTGGGGATTGAGCCTAGAATCTGTACATGTGTCCTGACCAGGAATTAAACTGTGACCTACTGGTTCATAAGCAGATGCTCAACCATTGTACTACACCGGCCAGGCTCAAACCATTCAGTCTTGCAGTTTCAGGGACTGAAACCAGCTTTGATTTCTAAAACTTACAGTGCCTTTTGGGGCATCAGCCTTAATCCATTTTTCAAGTTTGCTTCCTTGATTCATGAGCCCTGAAACACAAAATGCATGAGGTTATATCTTGAATGACAATAGCAAATTTGACTACATAAATCTTAACAATATATCTTTAAAACCAAAATGCTTTGGAACAGCAAAAAATCTTAGTTGTGATAGAGTTGGGAAAGGGTTACAAAGGTTACCAGTATATGTAATCATACCGTATGCACACTTTATTAAAATCTGGGTTCTTTTACTCAGCATAATTTATTTTGAAGTTCATTCCCATTGAGGAAGCATTAGATATTTTCCTCACACACAGAGTGATCAGTACTTTGCCAAATGGGCCCCCTTTACAGCTGCCTACTCTCTAGAACTCTCCTGTGAACTCCAACAGCCCTGGTTTCCTTAGATCAAGCATGTCCAAGTCATAGCCCCCAAGCCACATGCCTCATTTATTTGGCCCATATTAGCCTTTGAGTTTGGCATGCTTGCCCTAGATGCTCAACTCACTCCCCTCTTTTATGGAATCTGTTGGCTCTGGCTCTTACCCCTCTGTGTCCTGGGGCCTGGAAATTCTCTCAAGGTAATAGGCTGTGGCAATCATAATTCTCAGTGGTTCATTTTCCATCTCAATTCTTGCAGTTCTATGTTTTTTTGTTTGTTTTTTCTCACCATCAAGTTAATTAAGTTGTTATACCACCTCTGGCACTCCATTGCAATTCTGTCCTTAAGAACCAAGTCAAATCTGAACTGAGGAACTGTAGATATTTCAATTCATCATATAAATGTTCTTTGTTAAATCCAAGCACATGAATCAGGCAATCCTTTTCTTTAGTAAAGTTTTTTCCCTTTGTTGGTACCATATAATGTTCTTAGCTAATGAAAAGGTGCTTTGTACCATTCAATCATTGTGTTTCTTTGATATAAATTCTTTGTAATCAAAGTGCTTCTTTGATATAAATTCTTCTCTGAATTATTGCATCTCCTATTTAACCTGAGTCATAATTTTATTTATGTCTTAGAGGGGGGTCACTGTATCATCCCAGAACACAGCTGAGTATTCAATGACTTCCTCTAGAGTTTTCCTTCTACTTCTCTTGCTATATTTTCAATACTATTATGGCTCCCGTTAGTAAATCCTTGTATTAGAAGCTATTCTTTCCCCCTAACTTCATCATTAAGGGGTTCAGCTCTGTCAGTTTGAATTTGTTCTTTTTATGCCTGTGCTGCATTCAGTAGGTCAGGATTTTGAGATAGCTGCACCCAGTAGTTTTCTATAATACCAATTTTTTCCTAGTGATTCAAATAAACAAAAAGGACAGAAAATCTTGAACCTTGGTTCTCTAAATTTATTATTTTTTACACTATTTAGCATCAATAGGCAAAGCATAAAAAATAGTAAGTTTTCCCCCAAATATCTATGATTTTTTCCTTATATATTATTTTTCACCTTCATAATAATGCATTTTCTTGCTTATGGAGAAAGAAGCTAATCTGCCTATTTCCCCTGCAGCAGCAGAGGCCACACATGGTGCTGCTGCTACCAACAAAATGAACACACAGGCGATTTTAGCTTAGAGATAATACTAAAAAAAATAAGGTAATTTACAAAATTCCATGTAAGTTTCTTAAAATAGATTTCTCTATCTTGCCAAACAGTATTTTACTAAAAGCCTTTAATACTTTGACCTGAATCTGTGGAGACTCTAATTTGTAAAGTTTATAAATCCCTTCCTTAAAAAATCTTGTAACACATATTGAAACTTGGGGTTATAAAAACCTTGTTCCTTATTTAAATGCCTTTGCCAATGAAAATCAGACAATGTTTATTTGACCAAGAAATGGAAAATGCCCACCTTATCCCCATGTGGTCTGGATTCCATTAAATGGGGAGAAAAGTTTCCCCTTAGGACATTTTTAAACGCTAGCATTTGCACTCTAAATTTGCTCTGTCCAAATCTACCCAAATATATAGATCTCCAAATATATTTCCTCAAATGCCTAGTTGAAAAGTGTTAACCATGAACCATGAATGTTCCTGATCTAATCAGCACTGGCTGTGGATAAAGATGGGGCCCTGAGGAATAATTTGCATAATTTAGCTCTCTGGTTTAAAATAAGTTTGAGGCTTTGAAGGAGGGTAAGTTGGGGGAAATGGGATCAACTCCTCATGGGCACTAATGAATATGAGGTTTGTTTTTGGGTTGTTGAAATGTTCTAAAATTAGTTGTAGTGACTGCATAACTCTGTAAATATTCAAAAAGTAATTGAGTTGTACATGTTAAAGAGGTGAATTGTAGAGTATATGAATTATATCTCAATAAAGCTGTTATAAAAAAATAAAAATAAAAAATAAGTTTGAAAAGCTTCTTGACTGAGATGAGCTTTTGCACCCTCTTCCCCAAACCCTATCACAGACTTTGTTTATTTACATTTTTTTGATTCAGAGGAATAATCTTGGTGCTGTCTTATTAGCTCCAGAATAAACTTCAGTGCATCATAGTTGGAGGATTCCCTCTTCAACAGTGTAAACTCTACTGACCACCCACAATGGGAAGCCCCATGCTAAGTATTTCAGGGATGGTCAAAGATGTAAAAAGACATGTTAGCACCCTCAAAAAGCTTACCAGCTGGTTAGGAAAATAAATCATACACTTCTAAAACAACATGAAAATAATTATGCTGAAATCTAATTATTTTAATGCATGTATTTCACAAACAAAACCTCTAATACCACACACAGTTCCATAATCAATGTTGTCAATATTGTTTAACTGTTTACAATCCTCTCGACAGAAATGCAAACCAAGATATCTTGACAACAAATCTTTACTGGCAAAATATTTTGAGCTAGTTTTAATGGTGCCTATCATTGTATTTTTCTCTCAATTGCTTAAAATAATAACAAAGATAATCATACTCTAGTTTTTGAGCAAGTATACCATTAAACAATTTTGCCCAAGAAATATTCTTGGAGAGACATTTTCTTCCTCAAATCTTATATGTCTAATCCCAGCTGCTGAATTTTTCATTTCAGACATTATAGTTTTCAGTTCTATTTCTAGAAATTCAATTTTGGCCTTTTTTATATTTTCCATGTCTTAACTTTATTCCAATATATGGAATACAGTTATAACTTTTATTTTCCTTCTCTGCTAATAAGGTCTGTGGCCTTTTGGGCACCAAACAGTACAAAAGAAGTCTGCTGATCAGTACATAGAATCTTGCACTATGAACAAGAAATAAAATTTATTCTGCAATTTGAACCTTCTTGGTTTAAGTAGGGCTAGTGTGTAAGACATAATAACAAATAACACACAAAAAGAACTAAATAGACTGAGAAGCTTCATGATAACCAATGAGAGAAGCATGCATTTTCCTGATAGCATCCATTTATCTATTTCTTTAGCCAAAATTTATTGAAGGTTAATTTACATGTTGAATTTAACAGATCACTGTGGAGTTCAGGCCACTGAATCTTTCTCATGAATTACTGCAGTAACCTGCTGCTAATTAGCTTTTTGTTCATTCCACCATTGTCTTCTCTTAGCTTTCTCCACTCAACATTCAGTGATCTTTCTAATATACAGATATGACTATGTGAACCCCAGATTAAAACCTTTCACTTTCTTGGCAATGCACTTTGCATAAAATTCAAATCAGCCCAATGTGATCTGACCCCATTCCCAACTCCCCAGCCTCCTTTTATGGCACTCTTCCACTTACTGTCGGTACTCTAGCCATACTGGAGTGTGGCTCTCATTTCCTTAAACTCACAGTGCTAGTCTAACTTAGATGTGTCACCTACATGCTCTTATAGTACCCCGAATGTAACTCTATTGCAATATTTTCCCAGTTTATTGCATTCACTGATTTGTTTTGCTTCTCTAGAATATAAGCTCCTCTGATGGCAGACAAACCATATTTTGTCAGCTTTGCACTCCTAGTTTCTCATAGTGCCTGACTTAATAAATGCTTGTTGTGTGATTGACTGACCAAGTGAAGGAAAATACAGAAGACAGCAGGAGAAGAGATAGACTAGGGAAAGATACTGTTTGTTTTTAAATATATTAAGTTGTTGGTTTAGTAGAGTAGAAATGGGCAAGAAGTTAATAAAGAGATCAGGTCTGCAGATACCGATTTTATCCAATGACAGAACTAATAAGTGTTCTTAAATGATATAATGGCTGAAGTGATGAGAATGGGACTTTAAAATGGAGTTAAAATGAAATCTAAATTACTCATATGATTTATGAGTAACAGAATAAAAAATGACAAACTAACTTTAATTTATAATTCAAACATTCTTAACATATATATAATAATTGATTACACCGTCATTTGGAACACTGTTAAACAAATTTGTATTATTTTTAGATTATGGTGCCAAAAAATGATAATTCTGTTGGCTCCTTATCAAACTTGATATTAGAACATAATAAGTTGATTCTTATCATATTTAATACACTTAAATTTTTATCATGTAACTAAGAGTTGGCCATTAAATGCAATGATTTAGATCTGAGAGTGTAAGGGGAATCATTTTTATTACTATTATGACTTTTGTTAATATCCTATGACTTCTAACAGACAGCTTTCTTAACGTGCAAAAAAATATTTAAAACTGAAGCTTGTTCTTATGAAGATACCCCACAGCCAGCACCACTACACACTTTCTTTTTTTTATGCTGTTAAGATTTAAAGGAAAACCTCACCAGCATTAGTTTTTTTAAAAAAGTTTGTATATGTATTATCTATACGATAAATAATTTTAAAAGTAGTATCAGTGATCTATACAGCCAGAGGTAATTAGGAAAAATGTGTAAAGCTATTCACATTTCTAGGACTGAGAAGTTGTTATACTAAACAAGTTTTCAAAGTGCATAATACCAAACCAAATTCCTCTTTATTCTAATCTTACAAAGTTAACTTTAAATCTTGCCTTATATGTATTTAAATTCATTTTTAAGTCCAAGAATTAGAAAGCAGTAGTGCCAGGAAAAAATGTTTTTAATAATTTTTAAAATTTTAAATTGGGGTAAAAACACATAACATAAAATGTATCATCTTAACCATATTTATGTTTACAGTTCAGTAGTGGTAAGTATATTTACACTGTTGTGCAACAGATCTCCAGAACTTTTCATCTTGCAAAACTAAAACTCTATACCCATTGTATAGCTCCCCATTCTCCCTCTCTCTTTCTTTCATGTTTCTATGAATCTGAGTCCTTTAGATATCTCATATAGTGAAATCATACAGTAGTTATCTTTTCATGACTGGCTGAATTCACTGAGCATGTCTTCAAGGTTGTAACATATGACAGGCCTTTCTTCCTTTTTAACTCCATTGTATGAAATATATATACCACATTTCATTTATCCATTCATCCATCAGTAGACATATGGGTTGCTTCTACCTCTTGGCTACAGTGAACAATGCTGCTATAAACATGGTATGCAAATATCTCTTCAAGATAAAACATTTTTAATCAATTGTACCCAGTAATAGGACTGGTAAGTATCCCAAACAAAATGTCTGCATAATGTCACCGATAAGCAGGGGGGAGAAAAGTGTCAAAACACCAAAATGTGACAATGGAGAAGAATAAAAGACTAAAACTGAAATTAAGCATACCATATTTCTATTTATGTATGGACAATGACTATTCATCTTACACAGTAAAATGTAGCCTCCTTACCAGTAATTATTACACTATCATCTTTATGAGTTTTGGCCATCTCTTGAACATCGACTTCTGAGCTCACATTGACCTCTTTTCCTGATAACTGTAAATGAACTTGAAGAGAAGATGGGACCTTGATAAGAACAGAGCCTGGAATAAGTTTATAAGAAAGCTTGTTAATACAAAGAAATCAAAAGTACTAGATTAAATTATACTTTAATCACATTATTTCTTTAAATCTCCATACCAACATTATGAGGTATTATTATAATCTTCATTTTGCAGATAAGAACTAAAGTTCCCATTAGAGGTAGTTAGAATCTAGATCCAGTTCAATGACAACAAAGCCCATGCTCTTAAACACTGGGATTTCACACACTGCTATGCGACCTCATCATATTACAAAACTTGTAACCACAATGACCACTGTAACACAACTAGAACCTTGAGGTCCTATGCTTTCAGTTATACCTTGTAGAGCCAGTGGAATAACAATAAAAAAAAAAATTACTACAAGATTATAGTGGGAATAAAGTTGAGTGCCTTGCCCTAGGTACCCAAAGACTGTAATCCATTAAAAAGAAACAGTTAAAATTCAAATTTCTATTTTTTTGTTTTGTTATTCCACTGGCTCTACAAGGTATAACTGAAAGCATAGGACCTCAGCTCTGTGAACAAGATAGTCAGAATGACATCCATGGTGAATATTTTAAAGATTCTTTCTAGAATGCATTTATTTATGGGTCATTGTTTGCCTCCTAGTTTGGTGAACATCAGCTTAAGTTCCCATAAGTAATTTCATATCCTGAAAACCTTCCTAACTAGAGCTGCAGGTTTGGGATAAGACTGATGAACTCAAATATATACTCCTGCTTTTAAAAAAGGGGGTAACAAAGCACATCACTAAAACTGGTTTATTTTATTTAAAAAACAAATTGCTTTTCAAAGTTTAAATGTAAACTACTTTCAGGAGATTCTCCAGAACAATTAATATGAGAACTTTAGGAAAAAAACAACCCTGAAAAATTTCCAGATGAATGGAAAAGACATGTTTATCTATCAAACATACTTTAAAAAGAAAATAACAAACTTTAAAAACTTCCTGGGGACTTTGTGTCTCTAAATACATCAAATGTGATAATTTTTTTTCTATTCTTAAATGAAAAAAGGGATTGTGAGTCTGTGAGCTTTAAAAATGTTAAGCAATGCAAACAGCATTATCTCCATCTCCATACACCCTTTAAAAACAAACCATCACTACCAATACTCCATGACTGTTTGCAAATGCAGAATTCTCATGACTTGAAAACTCCCAAATGTCCCCTCTTTAACATAATCTGGGATTTTTTTGTTTTGTTTTTTGTTTTGTTTTGTTTTAGAAAGGAAAGTTGTTATATCTTCAACCTCTTTTCACTTCATAAACTGCTTCATGGTTATCAACATCCAATACCGCTCTTTAAAAAATTCAGAAGTTAGTATTAAAACTAATACTAACAGCACCATTTATTGAAGGCATACTATATTGAGATTAGAGGTTTTGTCAAGGACAAATTTTAAGTATAAAAGTCAGTATTCACATGCAGGCCTGACTCTCAACCATAAACTCAGTCTTTCTGAATGAATTAGCAAGTTCCCATGTTGATATCCATAGGAAGAGAGAAAACAAGCATTATAACATTCTTTTTTCACATGACAAATGTTGAAAAACTAGGAGACTCAGGTGGCTCTTGAATCCTACAGCAAGACAGTGGTAGAAGTGGAAAGGATTCCAGATGTCCTTACTAACCATTAAGCAACAGAATCCCAATTAAGTTTCCATTACTCTTGAAAAGTCAGTTGCCAAATTAGTGAGAATTAAAGAAACCTAAAATAAAATAGAAATCTTTGTTTCCAGTTATCTTTAAGCTTCTGCCAGTAACATGGTTTCAGTAGGAGAAAACACAAAATTATAATCCTAATCAACATTCTAAATAACACTGAAAAATATTTCAAGTGGATGAAGATTAACAATGTTTTTATTTTTCTGCCCATCCATACACAACAGGAAAAAACTTTGTGTAAGAGCTTTTACTCTGTTACTAGTTACATTAAATGCAGTTATTGTAGATTTTCTTCTCCTTTTCAAATGCAATTATATGACTTTTATGGCACTCACAAAATACAATGAATAGTATTAATGAAGCTCTTAGAAATTTAGCTAGAATATGGTATGATTTAAAGGAAAAAAAATTGATCTTGAGAAATCAAATCACATCTGTGTGTCAGCAGTAACTTCAGTTTCAGACCTCTGTAATTGTAGTTTTATTTTGACACTCTGAGAAGTAAGCCTCATTGGAAAAAAAAAAAAAAAAAAGTATTAAACCAATGTGGGAAATTACCAACCGCAGGAACAACTGATCTCTGTAAGCAAGTATTTTCCTTGTTATACACATAGCCCCGTTCTGGCCAATTTACAAGAGCTTCTAGACTTTATTTTTAAAAGTTTTTTTTATACAGAGCTATGGTTCTTAACTTTCTGCACAGGACACTTCAGCCCTATGGCCAAGTTACTCCAAGTACCCAAGCCACTTGCCAGCATGCTTGTGTGCATGTTCATGTACAGTCTTCATATGACTAAAAAGTGTACCATTTTAATGAAAGACCTGGACGCTTAGAATAAGTTATTTGAAATAAGATTATAGAAGGAAAAACAAAATAAGCTTTTATCTATCTATCTATCTATCTATCTATCTATCTATCTATTTATTTATTTTAGAGAGAGAAAGGAATGAGGAGACAGGGAGAGAGAGGGGGTAAAGGGGGAGAAAGAGAAAGAAAGAGAAATCAACTTGTTATTCCTATTTAAGCATTCATTAGTTGCTTCTTTTGTGCCCTGGCTGGAGATGGAATCTACAACCTTGGCCTATTGGAGCTACTAGGCCCGGGCCACATAATAAGTTGATACTTCAAGAGACTAAGTTAATAATTACTTTAAAAGCCCCTCCTGGTGATACCTTTATTTCAGGATCACATTTTGAAAATAATCATTACTCTAGAGTGATGGCCTCAGAAGGTCCACGTACTGACTTGTAGAAAAGCTTCCAAAGAGAGCATTTTCCAAAGAATATTATATTTCAGACATAAAGCTAAATTGAAAAAACACTAACATTAAAACTTTTTATAATAATAGTGAATCACTATATTATAACATTTTTGTTGGAACTACAAAGGGAAAGTCAGTCTTCATGGCCATCTGTCCCCAGTGTTTCTAAGATCATTGGTCTACACAGTAGTATTCCAGTCTTTAAATCAGTTTCTATCTGAAGATATGTTCTTGGAATCATTATGTCAGTACCACAAATAAGATAAATTGACCATCTGTTTCCTGAATGTTATGTAAAACCTTCCTTACACCACATGTCAAAATAAAACATTCCATTTGGCTAACCTTTATGGGATTTCAATTCCACCTTCCCCAGTTGGCTGACATAAACATCTAAGGCACCCTGATGAGTTGAGGCTTTTAGACATCCAGAGGATGAGTCTAGGAGGAAGGAAAAAAGCTATAAGCATAATCATTCTTATTTGAATAACTGGAATTACAAACTTGAAATAAAAAGCTCTGCTTTAGTATTAGGATAATAAGCTAAGAATCTTGCAAGGTTTTATAAATTCTTCTTATAACTATGCCATCTTCTGCTTTAAAATGAAAGCAGGAACAGAAATCTAAAATTATACACCCAGACAATAAAAGATCCCTATGACTACAGTAACCTGCATAACTTATCTCTAAACATCTAAGGCACCCTGTCTAAACATGTTTACTGTAAAACCTAATGTGTAGGAAGGACAGTACACAAGCGATGAATCGTTGACAGCCAATATCATTAAGCATCATTGGCACATTTAGTTTATTATCAACTTTCAATCTTTACTAAAGAATTATATCTCGTGTACAGTCAATATATAGGTAGTAGCAAAGTTAACAAAAATTAAAATCTCATATTTTCTCTTATCAAATTTCTGGTCAGAGTGAAACATTACTCTATATAAGGTTTTATTGCATTTCTGAGAGAGACAGAAATGTGGGCGGGGGGGCGGGGGGGGGGAGTCACTTGAATAGTGAGTGAAGCTCGTTTATATCTAAATTTTTTTCAAGTTTCTGGAATTGAACAGATACCTTAAGTCAGGGAAAGAAAATCATAATTAAGGTGGTCCTAAACATGTTTAGACTTTATTTACCCTAAGAAAAATACCACAAATGTAGTCATTTTAAAAAGCATGCAAAATTTACCAATTAACATCTTAGCACATACCTACTGTGATGTTACCCATCTTGCTTTGTAATGTTATATTACCTGTAAAAGAGAGAAAAAGAAAGACAATTTCATATATTAGGAATAATCTAGAAAGAAACTGTGTATACTAAAAAATGGCTGGATATCCACAATGTTATTTAAAAACAGTTTTTGTCATTGGCAATTTTTCTCAGTATCACACAACAATCAGAAATTTAGTTTCAACTCTGAAATAAAAAGTTTTAGGCATCTATACACACTCTTCCTCCACTCCATTTTAAGCTTTTTAACATAACTACAAAATATACCACCATACATTCTGGTAAATATGAAAGAAACATCTTATTTCTAAAATCCATAAATGAAAAAAATTAAATGAAAGAAGGTGAAGAGAATAGCCAAAGAACATACATGCATAACCTACAGACACAGAACACAGTTTGGTGTTGGACAGAGATAAGGGGAGGAGGGCAGAAAGAGAGCAATGGGGATATCAATAATAACGTAAACGATAAAAAAGAAAATATTACTTACATACACTGACTATGCATTTTCAACCTAAATATCACTGTAATTATCAGACTACACAAAGTCAAGTTTTGAATCAAATATTGCTAAAATAATCTATGGAAAAAAATTATTTTTCAGGCCAGTATGTCATGCTTATATGTTAAAGTGGTTTCCGTTCCAAGAGTTAAAAGAGATTTGGGGCAGGAATAATGAATCCATTGAACTATGACTAAGAAAAAAGCTTCAAATGAAAATATATTTTCATTTGAAAATATATTTTCAAATGAAATATATGAAAATATATTTTCATATATTTCATTTGAATGAAATATATGAAAATATATTAATTTTTAATATGAAAATATATTTTCCAGGTATAGAATATTGCAACCATTCTTCTCAGTCCCCTTCCTCCAATACCAAAAATAGTAGGATATTTCTTCATGTGTATGTTTGTATTATAATTACTCTGAAGCCATACTACCCATATTTACTATACTGAAGGTATAAGCAATATTACTTCTTCTACAATGATTCAAAAACTACACTTAAAAGTAATATATATATATATATATATATATATATATATACCTTAATATTAATCTAGGGTAAGTAAACTCATTCATTTCAAGGGTACATAACTAATTTTCCCAATAGTCAGATGTGCTTTGATAACAAAAATCTCTTCAAAGTCCTATTTTCCATCAAACTTCATGGTAGAATATGAACACCAGTTACAGTTGTATGGGAACAAAACGTGGTTAGTATGAAGTTAAGCTCATAAAATTATTTTCAAGTTTCAGTAGGTTATAAGGTTGTAAAGAAACTGTTAAATGTGTTATGTAAATATTATTTCACTGGTGTATTCTAGATACTCTTCTAATTTCCAGGAAATGTAGATTCGCCATCACATACAAATAGTGGCCAAAGATTATACAGCTGCTTAGATGGCTTACAATAATCCCTGCCTCTCAAGTCCTTGTATAATTACCTCCCCTCATGTGTGAACTGGACCTAATGATTTATTATTGACAAAGAAAATAGGGCAAAAATGATGGGATGTTACTCCCAAGATTAGGTTACAAATAGATTCTGGTTTCTCTCTTGCTAGCCATCTTTTGCTATGATGGAAGCCAGCTAGACATGTTGCCAACTGCCCTGTGAAAGAGGCTCACAAGCAAAGAATTCAAAGATGCCTCCATCTAACACAAGCATGTTAAATTTGAGGCTGGCCCTGACTGGTTTGGCTCAGTGGATAAAGCATTGGCCTGTGGGCTGAAAGATCCCAGGTTCAATTCCAGTCAAGGACGTATACCTTGGTTGTGGGCACATCCCCAGTAGGCGGTGTGCAGGAGGCAGCTGAACAATGTTCCTAACTCTATCTCTCTTCCTTCCTTTCTAAAAAGTCAATAAAATATATTTTAAAAAAATAAATAAATTCATGGCCAATGCCGCATGCCTTGTTTAAATAAATGAGGCATGTGGCCTGCTGGCCGTGAGTTTGACATGCTTGATCTAACGGGATCTGAACTGAATCCTACCAACAATCACGCTTAGTGAGCTAGGAAATAGATTCTCCCTTAGTGAATCTTCAAATGAGCCCACAGTTACAATCCCCTGAGGGATCTTGAGGCAGAGGGCTCAGTTAAGCTGCACCCAGATTTCTGACCCATCCAGACTGTAAGGACAATAAATGTTGCTTTCAGCTGCTAAGTTTTGGGATAATTTGGAACAATGGAAGAGGTAACTAGAGCAAATTTTGAAAGCTGAAAGTGAGATGCTGCCCTAATAATGTGAGCTTGGCATTGGGTAGAGGTTGGAAGGATTTTGAGGAGCATGTTAGAGAAGGCCTAAATTGCCTTGAACAGACTGTTAGTATGCTTCCTATAAGGGCTCAAAGGGAAATGAGGAAAAATGTTTTTGGAAATTGAAGGACCCTTGTTAAGTAGTAGTAGAAACTTAGCAACACTATCACCTTCAGTAATATGGAAAGTAGGAAATATACTTAATGATATGAATGACCTAGCTAAGATTTCTAAGCAGTCAGTGTTGTAGGTGATGCTTATTGTTTTTTTTTTTTTCTTTTTGCTCACAGTAAAATGCAAGAGAAGAGAGATAATCTAAAGACCTGTTAAAACAAAAAAGAACCAGTCTCAGTCTCTTAAGATGGTAAAAGATGATAAAGTTAAGAATGGCTTCCAGGACACTGACACACATGGCCTAAAAATATAGCCAAGGGGGCCACTGTAAAACCTTCTATTAAACCCCAGAAAGATGGAGGGTGGTACCTCATAGTATTAATGTTACACAAAAAGTCCTTTAAGCCGAAACCGGTTTGGCTCAGTGGTAGAGCGTCGGTCTGTGGACTGAAGGGTCCCGGGTTCGATTCCGGTCAGGGGCATGTACATTGGTTGTGGGCACATCCCCAGTAGGGGGTGTGCAGGAGGCAGCTGGTTGGTGTTTCTAGCTCTCTATCTTTTTCCCTTCCTCTCTGTAAAAAATCAATAAAAGTATATTAAAAAAAAAAAAAGTCCTTTAAAAAGATTAAAAAGATCATAGATGCTCTCAAACAAACAATAGGCCCTCTACAAAGCTGGAGGGCATTGTACCTCAATACCTCTGCAGAAGCCCATATTTTCAAAGATTCTTGGATATTGCCTTTTATCTAGTGGAATAAACACTAGTGTGATTCACAGGAGCCTGACAAAATTTTTGACAGGAATACATCAGCAAACACACTGCAAAGTGGACTAACAGGAGCAGCGACAATAAAAAATGAAAAGAGCCCATTGGACCCACAAAATTCTACTGGCAGAAAGCAGTCTGAGAAAACTACTCAGCTGCAAACACATGCAACATAACATGTAAAAAAAGGACTCAGAGGCAGGGAACCCAGAGCTCAGAGAGCAAAGCCTGGAACCCTAAAGAATTATTCCTAGAACTTGAGGTCTCATCAAAACCACGAAGGTTTGCCCATTCACATTTCGAAATCACTACAGACCAATGACTCCTTTGTGCTTCTCATTTTCCCCCTTTGAACAGGAAAGTCTAGAGCAATTATCCTATTCCTGTCTTTTAAACAAATGTTTAAATTTAGTTTGGAAAAAGAAGTAAAGATCAATCTGCAGCAGAATCATGGAATGCTAGTCTACTGACTTGATCCTACACTGAAGGAGTTGGCAAAGAATTTTGAAATGGCAACCAATAGATGAAAACTATGCTTTGGACAATTAACCTATTGTGAGACACTGAATGTTTCCACTCAGAATTCTCTTTAACTGCTTCCAATTCCTGAACACGTCAAGAATAAGATGAAGCAGACACCTAAGATTTGTGATTTTAAGTAAGTATTAGTAAAGAACAATGACATAGTTTTATAGTTAGCCATTTAGTGAGTCCATTCACTTACTCAACAAGGCAAAGGAGCTTTAATATTTTCAATGAATGCAGTAAAAACTTACTATTTTTTAATGAAAATATGGTCTTTCTTAAAGAGGATATCATTAGTACTCATGATGAAAGCAATGCAATCTCAAGAAAATAATGGTTCTCAAAACCATAACATAGCATATGATAGGAGTAAAGTACGCATTTCTAGGCCTGGTTTCTGAATCTTCTGACACGACCCTCTACGATCTCTCTTCCTTTCAAGGAAGACTGGCAGTAGCACACTGAAGATGGCAGCACCGTCTTTATAGAAGGAGCAAGACTCTCCAAGCAACTAAGCTGAGTCCAAACAGGGCATGGAATAGCAACATTTAGTATCACATGTTTAAATCCTGAAAAAAATTTATGCTGTCTATACCACAAGGGAAGTGTAATTCCTTTCTAGTATTTCCTATAAAAGTGTTTTAAGTCTAGATTCAATATTAATATAACAGGTCAAAATGATAAACCCAAAATTTTACAATGGACTTAATACTAAAATTTAAATATTTTCATAAACTTCATGAATAGTTTAAAAAGCTTCCAATATAAAGCTTCTTTGTTTTAACATTTCATATTATTTCTGACTTTCTAAATTTATAAGGCAGATTTATAAATTCACCAGTGACTACATGTCCTTCTTAAGGCAAACTGGGACATTTCTTTATGAAATTCTCAGTACTACCAAAGTTATCAACTAGTCCTAGCTAGTTTGGGTCAGTGGATAGAGCGCTGGCCTGCAGACTGGAGGGTCCCAGGTTCGATTCCACTCAAAGACACATGCTTAGGTTGTGGGCTCAGTCCCCAGTAGGGGGCATGCAGGAGGCAGCCGATCAATGATTCTCTCTTATCATTAATGCTTCTATCTCTATCTCCATCTCCTTTCCTCTCCAAAATCAATAAAAAAAATATATCTTTAAAAAGATTAAAAATAAAAATAAAAGTTATCAACTGGGAGTGTATAGTTAATATAACTTTTCCCTGCAAGTTTCTAAAAGGCACAGTAGTTATTTAAGAAAAGAGTTTAAACATGTACAAACTGCAAAATCTTTGGTGAAACAAAGGAATTTTGAAGTACTGAGAAAATGAAAGAACTAATATTCAACTATTTATCAAGGTATGTTCCCCAAAACTAAAACAAGATCCTAAGTATTTAATATGAAATTTTACTTATTAATCACTTACTTTCAAACATTAAATTATAAAACACTAAAATAGCTGTCATGAGTATTCCTACATATTAACCCTAATCAATATGTTTAAATTATAAGTAAATCCAATCCCAACAAGGTATTTCAAGGAAGCTTTTCTTTCTCTCTCTCAGAGTCAAAATATATTTAAATATATTTTAAAAATATATTTAGTATACATGTGAATATATTTCACATATATGTATAAAATTCTTTAAAATCATAAATATTCAAATAGCAAAATAGAATATATTATACTTACAATCTAATTTTGGTAACTTAGAAGGAAATCAAAATTGTATACTGTAACAAAATCTTTTATCTAAAAATAACTTAAGTACTTATTCTCTCACTTGATCTCCTCCAGTGCCAGAACAGTAGGGAATATTTGTTGAATCAATGAATAAACTAGTTTTGTTTTTTTTATTAGAAGGCATAAATACTTAATAATTGTGATTCAAACAACTTTAATAGTAAATACTACTCGTTAATTACCTTACTCATTACTCACTACTAGAAAATACTGGGGTGTGATAAAAGTAGGTTTAACAGTCATGGTATGGGAAATAATACAATAATTAATTTAAAAAAATACAAGGATAAACTGTGCTTCACATAGTTACAACTGTAACAAACCTCCTTTTGTCCCACACTGTGTGTTGAATAAATCAATAAATATAACTGTAGTGGATGCTGTGATTCATCATCCCTAACCCCTTTTTAACCAAAGGGCTTATTTTCTTAACTGTAAGGAGTAATGCTGGCAGACAGCCCTCAGCTGTCAGCCTTCTTAGGGGCTCAAATAGCCTTTTTGGCCCAAGATTACACTCATTTCTGAGGCAGCTTGCATCTAATTGAGGCAGGATAATAAGCAGCTAGGAAAATTCATGGGCAAGTAGAATGTGGAAACTGAGACAAGATCATTAAATAAGGCTGAATGAATTAACCAATTTATAGCCAGCTAGTGAATCAACAAGACCTTATTTTCCCTATCCAAGGCGACTTAACAAATGGTTGATACCTCTCCTCTCTGACCAGGGAATGAATAGCTTAAATCACCCTGATTAGGGAGATAGAACATAGAGATCCAATTAATGCTATTTGTGCCAGCTAAACCCAAGGATGAAGTCAGAGAAACAAATACCAAAATCTTGATTACAGACAGACAGATTTTTACAAGATAAAAGCAAAGGGGTGAAGCTGACCAGAAAATAATCCCAAACTCCTCTATACACTCATTTTGATGTATGAGCATATTTAAAACACACCTGGAAAGCTAATGAATATTCTACTGAAACCCTCCCCTAAGATTTTGGCTCCCAGAAGAGATATAAAAATCCTCAAGAGAAAGGATGCTGGTGGGCACTCTTTGGAGCACATCCATTCCCCTTCTCAGACATGAACTTTTTACTTCTTTTCTCCTAAACGCCAAGTTTCCCCACGAGATTTGCAACCATGGGAGCAGCAGGTAGCAGAAGCTCGTCCTGAGCTTACCACCTGAACCTGTCTCTAAGCCCCCCTTTTCTCTGATTTTCCAATGAACTAACTGCAGCTCTGCCTTATCTCACTTCCGTCCCTGTGCCTTTTACTTCCCAGTGAGCTATTAGTAGACTTGTCTTGGGGCTCACTTTCTAGGGAGCCAAAGCAGAGCATCACATACGCTCTCTCCTGTTGCTTCTTCTACCCTTAAGTCCTTCCTTTGTTCCACTATCCCCAGCATTAAGAAATATACTCTCAAAATCACCTGGATTCATATGCGAAATCTTTCCTGCAGGAAGTCAATAACCCACACACTACAGGCCCTCCTGAGGTAGACTTGCTCTGGGTCCAGTCCCTGTCTGGTCAGATAATAGGGGATATAAGGGTCTAGCTCTCCTTACCCCAACTTGAGACAATTATGAGGATCACCTCAGCTTCAGAGCTCATTCTTGGAGGTTTTGAGACTGCATCACAGTCCAACTTCTAAGGAAATTGGGCTTCCTTTCTTTGCATGGCATTGAAGGCCTCCCTAGTAAATTGCTATACTCTAATTTTCATCTGAGAGTCTGCTTTCAAGAAACCCAATCTAAGACAAAAGATGATCTAGGTCTGATCCAGATTTAAATTTCCCAAGGAAAGGTACTTAACTTCATAGTAAAGTCAGTAAATAGAAAAGGCTTTACAAAGAATAAGGAATGATAAACTCTTTTATCCCTACAATTGTTTCCTTATTTCAAACTACTTTAAGTAATCAAAAGACCTAGAATATTTTGAGGACTGCCTTTGTGCTTCTGTTTTAGTATCATGTAAACTATCAATGATGAACTGTACCTAATGTAATTATTATCTAACTTAAAAGAAAGCAAAAATTAAAAATTAATGAATTTAGTATAGACAAGGTATAAACAGGGCACTGCAGAGAGCTGTGTTCTTATCATGGGTGTTAATTAAATCTGACTTGATAAAGAACTGCTTTAGGCCAAAACCGGTTTGGCTCAGTGGTAGAGCGTAGGTCTGCAAACTGAAAGGTATGGGGTTTGATTCCTGTCAAGGGCATGTACCTTGGTTGTGGGCACATCCTCAGTAGGGGAGGTGCAAGAGGCAGCTGGTCGATGTTTCTCTCTCATCGACATTTCTAGCTCTCTATCCCTCTCTCCTCCTCTCTGTAAAAAATCAATAAAATATATTAAAAAAAAAGAAAGAATTGCTTTACCATTAAAAGCTACTCAATACATTAAGTACAATACTTAAAAAAAATCTTCATCTGAGGATATGCTTATTGATTTTGGAAGGAAGGAAGGAAGGGAGGGAGGGAGGGAGGAATAGATTAATGTGAGATAGACGGATAGATTAATGTGAGAGAGAAACATCAATGGTTCCCTCCCATATGCACCCCATCCAGGATGGAATCCACAGTCTAGGTATGTGCCCTGACCAGGAATCAAACCCCCAACTTTTTTGGTGCATGGGACAATGCTTCAGCCAACTGACAGACCCAAGTAGGGCTTAAGTACAATACTTATGCAATGCTTATGAAAAACTGGTTAACTTATGAAAAGTTACAAATTATCAAAACTATTCAAGGCACAGCTGAGTAAAAAAATAAATGAATAAGTAACAAAACTATTTGCTTTATCTGGATATAACTCTATTGGATTTAAGCTATTTTGGACTTACGTAATACCTTAACTTTGTAATAATGGTTGATGAAGTACAACTATTAATTTGAGGCTCAAGAATTATTTCAAGAATGTAAGTACTCATTTCCTAAGATTTAAAAAAACATGTTTTTATTAATTTTAGAGAGAGGAAGGGAGAGGGAGAGAGAGAAACAGCTATCAGTTGCCACTCATAGAGGATGGAACCTGAAACCTAGGCACATATCCTGACTGCACAGGATGACACTCAACCAACTGAGCCACATGGCTAGGGCAAGATTTTTTAAACTGTAAGATTATTTGTCAATTTGCTACACAGATTGGCTAGCACTAGCCATGCTTTTCTAGTATCACCTAATAATTCATGCTCACTACTAAAATCTGGAAGTTTTGCCAAAATGTACAGATCTCAATACTCAGCTTTCCTATAAAAGATAAATTATTTATCTATATATGGAAAATGTTTTAGCCTACACTCCCTGGAAAATGGCCCAAAAGGCATTTAATTCTATCTATATATATTTTAGAAAACATGCCTAAACTTGAATCATCTGTTATGTGGAAATTTAAGAGGCATGCTGAGTGACAAATTACCATCATGACCTTTGCCATATTTCTTCACCATATTCTCTTCTTTCAACAAAATGAATCAACTAAGTAATATTATTTGTCCACAGAGACTTGTGTTGAGTCACAAGATAATATTTAATCAAAGAAAACTGAAAATAGCAGGGTACTGAAAGGACCTGGTGCCAGTAATAACACACACAAAATATTTTAGTCAGAATTAGTAACTTATCACTAAGTCACTATAATTAGATTCCAAACAAATATTTCATTAACTTATTTAATCCTTATCTTTCCCTATCACAACATAAAAGCAACCACTCACAACCCATCTTTAACACTGCTTTTATTTTATTTGTGCTTTCCTCTTAGTATCTCCTACACATATTTCCTTACTGCTGTTTTTTTAAGTAAGAAAATTCATTAAAAATCAGAATTATTATTACCTTCATGTATAACAGGATAATATTGAATTTCTTGCGCAAATTAAAAAGCTTATAAGTCATTTTATTTTATGGGTTTTTTAAAAGATGGTTAGTCTGGCTGAAACCAGTTTGGCTCAGTGGTAGAGCGTTGGTCTGTGGACTGAAAGGTCCCAGGTTCGATTCCAGTCAAGGGCATGTACATTGGTTGTGGGCACATCCCCGGTAGGGGGTGTGCAAGAAGCAGCTGGTCGATGTTTCTCTCTCATGGATGTTTCTAACTCTCTCTCCCTCTCCCTTCCTTTCTGTAAAAAATCAACAAAACATATTAAATAAATAAATAAATAAATAAATAAATAAATAAAAGATGGTTACTCTGTAATTAATCATTTAGAGGGCCAGCTTCCTAATGGCAGATCCTTCAATGACAGAGAAACAGAGTCATCTCTTAAAATTTACATTACATGCAAAGTCTGAGAAGCATTAGGCCATTGTCATCTTACCATGAATACTTCCTAATGTAATATCCCCAGCAGCAGAAGATAGAAATGATGATTCTGTGTAAAGATACTTGGCTTTCAGCAAACCATCTTCAGTAGATATATTGACACAACTTCCCTGCAGTTTATCTATGGTCACAGTCTAGTAGGAGACAGATTCAAATCAGTTCATTATAAAACAAATACCAGAAAAAAGCCAAAATGGTATCTACAGTAATGGTAGGTAACTACATAAAAAGTTAGTACCCAAACCCTTTATTGGCTTTGATTCCCTACCTCTATCAATTACTGATAGATGTAGGGAATCAAAGCCAATAAAGCCAATAAAGGGTTTGGGTATTAACAGTGCACTCTGCGTAGAATGTGAAATAGATCCATTATTTTAAAATTTCATTTGACCTTATTTAGCTTTCTTATTTGACCTTAAATCCAACAACTTCACTAATTTTAATAATCTATCTGAATTAAAAACATGTTTTTACACACATAATTATATTATCTACAAGTGATAGTTTAATTCAGTGGTGAATAGAAGCCATGGGATAGCAAGAACTCTCATCTTATTCCTGTTCTCAGAGGGAAAGCTTTCAACTTGCATCAAGTAGAATGTTTTGCTATAGATACTTTTTTATCTCTTTTATCAGATTAAAGAAGTCCTGTTATATTTCAGATTTGTTTTGTTGCTATTGAAATTATAATGGATTTTGAATTTTAGCACATACTTTATCTGATTTTATTAGACTATCATGATTTTTTTCTCACTTTGTTGTTTAATGCAGTGAATGCACTATTATTTTTAGAATTTTTCCACTTTTACATCTAATAAGGCAGTAGGCTTTCCACTGAACAAAATGAAAGGAATTTTGTATTTATCCCTTAGTTTCTCTAGCAAAATGCAGTATGCATTTATGTCTCACATACTGTACATAATATAAAATGAAGATAGCTAGTATTGAATTGCAAATAATCTTTGTAGTATTTTAAACAAATATTTTTAAGCATGAAATTGTTAATATAGAAATTGAAATCACCAGGAAGGCTTGACAGTTTTGCCCAGGGTCAAATTAAAGTATACACTGAGTTGTTTAAAGAAAGAACATCATAGGCTTTCTTGTTGTTTTGCTGAAGGTTTCTTTTTCTGTGCAGAAGTTTTTTATTTTGATGTAGTCCCATTTGTTTATTTTCTCCATGGTTTCCATTGCCCTAGGAGCTGTATCGTTATTGCTATGACAAATGTCTGCTATTTTGCTCCTATGGCTTCTTCTAAGATTTTTGTGGTTTTCCATCTTATGTTTAAGTCCTTTATCCATTTTTAGTTTATTTTTATGTATGATGTAATTTATTTTTATGTATGGTTTAGTTTCATTTTTTTTTTTCAAATATCTGTCCAGTTTTCCCAACACCAATTATTGAAGAGACTGTCTTGACTCGATTGTATGGTCTTGCCTCCTTTGTCAAATATTAATTGAGCATAATGGCTCATGTGGACTTCTGGGTTCTCTGTTCTGTTCCACTGGTCTATATGTCTATTCTTGTGCCAGTACCACACAGTTTTGAGAACAATGGCTTTCTAGTATAGCTTGATATCTGGTATTAGGATCCCTCCAACATTGTTTTTCTTTCTGTATAGCTTTCTTTTTTAATGGACTTTTATTAAATATACTAGAGGTCCGGTGCATAAAATTCGTGTACTCGAGAGGATCTCTCAGCCTGGCCTGCACTCTCTCGCAGTCCAGAAGCCCTCAGGGGATGTCCAACACTGGGACATCCTTAGTGCTGCCACAGAAGTGGAAGAGGCTCCTGCCACCACTGGTGTGCTCGCCAGTTGTGAGCCTGGCTCAGGGCTTCTGGCTGAGCGGCACTCCCTGATGGGAGCACACTGACTACCAGGGAGCAGCTCCTGCATTGAGTGCCTGGCCCTGGTGGTCAGTTCACGTCATAACGACTAGTTGTTTTGCCATTCAGTCTATTTGCATATTAGCTTTTTATTATATAAGATAATACACACCCAACTGCTTTTTACCTACTACAGTTTGCTCTAAGCTAATTTTGGATTCACAGAAATTTTGACTTTAAATTTAGTTTCAATAATTCTATCAACCAAAGATAGATATATTCAAATTTGTGAGAATACAATGTTTGGCATTCTTCAGTGTTATAGTAAAGGTATAAAATTCCTGAAAATTTTATCTTTTACCTACAAAGTTTCTTCATGAAAAGTTGCCTTATGCATGGTTTTAAATTTTCCAAGTATCAACAAAGTACCATGTTTCCCCGAAAATAAGACATCCTCCGAAAATAAGACCTACTTACTGGTTTCCTTCTGAGTGAAATATAAGGCATCCCCCAAAAATAAGGCCCCCCTAGGCTAAACATGAGAGATTTGGTCCACTGATTCTGAAAGAAATGGAGTTACAAGAAATTCACCAGGAAATTCAGGAATTGGATTGTTATGATGATGTTCCAGAAGATGATGACATGATTGTCATTGAATAAATGAGTAAATTCTTGATACTGTAGGATTCACAGTTTGTCTGGTTTGTGTTGACAACTACCGTACTACCATACCGTATACAGGTAATAAATTTCCTTTATTTTCATTTAACAATAAATGTGTACCGTATTCTTCTTCATGAAAAAATAAGATATCCCTTGAAAATAAGACCTAGTGCATCTTTGGGAGCAAAAATTAATATAAGACACTGTCTTATTTTCGGGGAAACAGGGTAGATAGCAACTAGGAATACTCCAGCTTTTTACAGATACAGAAACTGTTTTAGAGAACAGCAAAAGATAAATAGATAAACAATGAGAGAATATTTGAAGCTTCATTGAACTGGCAAAGAGGCACTTTTGATTAGACTCTCTCTACAACCAAATAACCTTTAAGAGATTCTATGAATATCTCAAAAATGCCAAAGATTTATTTTCTTCATTAAACAGGAAGTATTTTACTCTGTAAGAAACTAGAAATATATCCTCCACTGCCCCACCAAAGCAAATGAAAGCAAGTGAAAGTACACTTCCCCCACCACAATATAGTAATTATAACTAATTATCCTATGAAATTAATTTCAAACAAATGCAAAATTCACTAGTATAATGCACTATATCAGATAATAACTAGAACAATTAAACTTAGGACACCACCATTTAGAGCAAAATATTGAGGCTCTGATTTACAATTATTGTAATAAACAAATCATAAGTAGATTCTTTGAATTAAACTATATAGCTTGCTTATTAATAGAAAATAGCTATTTAAAGAGAAAAAATAGATCCCAAAATCAATACCTTCCTGACAGAGATATTACTATAATTAACTTTCTTTTCTAAGAAAATAAGGAAAACTTTTCATAAGTTTAGTTATTGTAAATCAACATTACATGTAATAAAAACCAACTTTTAAAGAAGCACTGTAGCTTTGTAGTCCAACCTACAAAGAGAGATCAACTAACAACCATGTCATTATATTTATCCACCAATCATATGAATTTCTATCTTCTTAGTACCAAAATGAGGGTACTGAAATTAATGATATAATTTAAAAACAGCAACTCCATATAAAAATAACATGTAAAGAATGCTGTTAAGTATTTTTAGAGCTCATTTGATTCTCATAATCTTGTTGACTAGGAAAAACAAATATTACTATCTCTGTTTTACGAATAATGAAGTCTCAGTAAAGTAAACTGGTAGGTCCAGGACTGCTCAAGTTGTCTTTGTTAAATGTGTTTCATTTAACTTTATCACCATTATTATAATAAACACTATATTAGAGTTACTAATAGTTACATGCCAGACATAATTTTAAGTACTTTATCTGTATTATCTCATTTAATCCTCATAACCCTCAGAATGAAGTACATTACTATTATTCCATTTTCCAGAAAAAGTGGACATATAGAGATTAAGTAATTTATCTGAAGTTAAAGAGTTTAGTAAGTAGCTGAACCAGAATTGAAACCCAAGTAGTTTAGTTTTTAATTCTGTGCTCTTAACCAATTCACAATGCTGCTTCTCAAATATACAAAGTATGACTGTGAAAGTAGTATATTAAAAGTTAACATATTTCATAAGCATTTATTTTATATCAAACTCCTTAAACTTAGAAATATGCTTTAAAATGAACTCTATAAGTCAAAAAGAAATATCTAGACTGAATCAACACAAAACTCAAGCTAGAAGACAAAATAGTATAATAGAAAGTAGGACTAAATGAGTATGCAATAAACCATGAAAGTTGAAAGAAATGAGTGGAAACAGTTGCCAAAATATTCAAAATAGTAAATAAGTAAGAGATAATTTAAATTATTCTTTGATACTTATATGTGAATGCCAATATGTAATATTCTGGTAACTTAGATCATTTCAGATAGCATGAGCTTTCATTTAAAGGACAGAGTCTGAAGGAACTATAAAGTTGTCTAATTTCCCTTTTGTACCTGTAAGACCACAGCAATTTGAGAGATAAAACTAAATGCCATCTCAAGAGAGCTGCTACATAAGGCAAGGCAGTGTCTTTCAATTCTAGTTTACTTTAAAAAATAAATGTAAATGTGTGTGTTTAAACATCTCTCACAGGTTAAAGAGAGAAAATAAAAGTGCCAACAGTAAAAACAATTAGTGTTATAATTTACCGTGTTTAATTATGCTAACAGTAATCTACGTATAAGATATATTCACAACTCCTCCTTACCAATTATCCCTATATAAAAGGCTAATATGCAAATATCAGGAGTTCAACTGACCATGAGTTTGACCACTCACTATGGATATGCATTGCCACCAGAAAGCGGCACAAAATGAAGGAAGGCCCCAGCCAGCAGTCAGCAGCTGGGGGAAGGAAGGCCCTGATTGGCCCTGATAACTGGCTGGGCCTAGAGAATCTACATGTGCATGAATTTCATGCACCAGTCTGAGAATAAAACTGAGTATGGATTTTAGCAATTGTATAACAAAAGAGCCTTGCAAACTGTGTAAGTGCAGAACAAAAGGTGATTTATATGTTTCTCAAAGATGTAAAACTTTATCATGTTTATAAATTTTGTGACAATTCATACTTCAAAATTATACCTTTATTCTTAATACTATGTTAAATCACAGAAAGCAACAAAAGTTGATTAAAAAATAACAACCAAAATCCATATGGCTAATAAAAATTTTTGAGAATAGTAATACTATGCTATCTAGTGGTGCCATCTTGTGGAAAATACTAAAAAAAGTTGAATTTTGAAAACCATCCTTCAATTGCCTAAAGGCAAAGTAAAAAGGTTTTGGGAAAAATACTCAAATAAACCTAACACATAAGAATGAAATCTCAGTTATGGTGGTATTATTTAATAATCCATTTTAATCCATGATCATAAAAATCTCTTCAGAACTAGAATAAAATATTGAGTATTTAAAGATGTTACTGATTCTAAATAAGAAACTAAATAACTGTCAAAATATTAAATCACAAACTAAAATTTAAATTTCATAACATTTAATCACCTTAATTTGACATTTGAATTTACTAATGAACTAAAATACAGTAAAAGAGAATGCTATGCCACAAATTTGGTAGAACCTACCCACTGTTTGAGCCAACTTGATGTAAAGCTGAAATTACTTTAAAAAAAAAAAGTGTCAATCTTACACTTTTATCTGATGCGTGAATATCTATATTTCCATAAATTGTTCCCAGACAGATTACTTTGCCTCCTTTAGTTTGAACATGTAATTTTTGACTCTGAAAGACAAATACAAAAATACATAGAGAAAAAGAGAGAATAAATTTGACTTTTACTAATAAGATTTCTATCATGTTACACATTTCTTTTTAAATAATAAAGCAGAAAAGAGGAACCAGGAATTAAATAAAAATGCACTGTATGAAATAATAACATCAAGTAAAAAGGAATGTCAACTGCTTTAAGGAGATTAAATAAGCTATGGGGATTCAAAGGGGGAAAAGAGCTACATGGACGTTCCAGTAGCTTCACTGAAAAAGAATTTGGGAATTCAAGACCACTCACTGGCTAACTACACATAAGTGATGAGGAGGATGACAATAACCACTGTTACTGTTCATAGTTATTAATATTTATCATTATTAATAAGAACATTTAGCACTTATCTGGTAATTCTTTGTATCAAAATACAATGATTACTTTACATTAATTATCATTTAATCCTCACAAGTCAGAGAAATAGGTATCATATTTTCCCCATTTTACAGAAGGAGAAATCCAAGAATCAGAAAAGTTAAATAATTTTATCAGGCGACATGGTTAGAAAAAAATAAAACCTAACATAATTAAGCACTATATAATTTCAAAACTCATACTCTTACGGCTGGGTTCATCTGAAGGTTATACTGTATTTACACTTAGTATAACAGCCCACTGACCATTAAACTTTGTAGCATAGCACTCAGAAACTGGAATTAAGTGAAAATTCCTCTAAGCACAAATAAAACAGCAGTCACAAATGTGTCCTCTGCCAGATTTAGAGAGAGAGAGAAAGAAAGAGAGAGAGAGAGAGAGAGAGAGAGTAATTTTATGTCACATTTGTCAACTGCGGCAGAAACTACTACTGGTCCACAAAAATCCACTTTCCTCCCCAAAGTAATAGAGGAGTATAGCTGGGCTTGTGAAGAGATTGTCGCTTATGTGTTGCTAAATTCTTGACAAGAGATATAAGTGCAATTTCCAGGCTTGGCTTTTAGAAGAGTTGGTGTGCTTTCTCTAGGCTCTGCCCCTTCCACCATATGAGCGTAGGTTGTAAAAAGGCTCTAAGAGAAGGTAGAGCCAGAAGATGGAAGGAACCTAGAATCACTGAATACAAAAAAGCCACCCACACTTTTGAACACAAGTGAGAAATAAGTTACAGCTGTATATGAACCAGAAGATGTTTGGTCTATTTATTATAGTAGCTTCTTTACCTTAATCACTTATGTATGTCTTCAGTTCTGCCACAATTATAAAGAGAACTATATATGTAAATATGCCCTGGCCAGCATGGCTCAGTGGTTGCAGCATCTGTCTGCACACCTAAGGGTCCTGGGTTCAATTCTGACCCAGGGCACATACCTGAGTTGCAGGGTTGATTCCCTGGCCCCATTGGGGAATATGCGCAAGGCAACCAATTGATGTGTCTTAGCACATCAATGTTTCTCTGTCTTCCTCTCTTCTAGTCCCTTCTACTCTCTCTAAAAATCAACAAAAAAAATATTCTCTGGTGAGGATTAAGAACAAAAAAGAATAGGTAAATAGTAGAGAAAAAAAATAGCAAGAGCAAACTCACCAATATGTCCAGCAATAGAGTGCCTAAAACACAGGAAGTAAAAAAATGTAAAACCATCACTTACCTTGTGGTTGCTTTATGGGGGAGGGAGGGGGGGGGATTGTAAAACCTTAGATCAGAAATGATTTTTTTTTTAATTTAGTGAAAAGGGAAAAATGAATCATTTTTACAAGTTTTTCTGTATCACAGCATAATAGACTACTTCATGTCCATAGTGACATGAGTCTGAAGTCAAGTAGTTTATAATATAGTCTTTATCAAGCAAATTAGTCATCTCATTTATGAACATTAGAAAATAGTATCTCTAAAACAACTAATATTTTAAATCAAGAGTTCTTAACCAAGACTACACTGAATTTCTAGAGTCAGTGAAACTTATGAAATTGTAAGCAAAAATTCATATATATGTGTATTTTTTTCCTGAGACAATCATAGAATTTTAAAAAGGTGAAGGCTTAAAAATGTTGGGTTAGTCTTTATCATTTAAAGCTTGATCTAATTCCCCTCCAAAAATGTGAAGTAGATTATAGAAATTTTCAAAATATTTAAAACAAAATAGGTAAAATAAATATTTATATCATTAACTATTTAGTATAAGATCAACTATTATACTGCACTTAAATAATGCAAATGTGTGGCATTCAATGAGTTAAGGGTCTACTGCCTAAAATATTTTCTTAGTTATTCTCTAAGAATGCTGAATAAATGTAGCATTGCCATACATTTTGCTTGGACAATAAAGAAAAGTGGAAATATTATGAGCTTAGAAATCAGAAAGACCCAAGTTCAAATCTCACCTCAATTTATTAGCTATGTAAACCTAAATGAATTCCTCAATCTCTTAGTGCCTCATAATTTCTTCCTTGATGAAAAGGAGATAACTCAAGGATTAACTTAATATTCTTTAAATGTACTATTAGTTTCATTATAGAATTCAAAATGAAATCTAGAAGGAATATGAGGAAAAACCTTCAAAGCTGCTACAACCTTTATACTTTCAGAACAGAACTGACTTCACCTCAAATTTTTTGCAAGTAATTTGAGTGATAAATAAATTATACTTAATACTCATAATAAATGATTCAGAATAACAGCTTTAGTCTGATACTGCAGTTCATAGTTTAAAGTGTGTGTTTTTAAAATAATGCTGACACAAAATTATAAATATGCTTATACCTTAACAGACTGTAAGATGCTAGTCCCATGCTCAGTTTCAATTTTGCAATTATCACATTCAATATTTTGCACTTTTATACAGCCAGACCCTGAAGACTTGATATTCAAATCTAGAAATGAAAAAAGAAAATACAAGTTAGTGTGCTGGTTAATGGGCTCCAAAGCGTTTTAATGCTCCCTAGAAATCCAGCTCCTCAGTTAAGTTCCCAATATTACAGAACCCTGGAGAGAGCATAGTTGGCAGCAGTCTCTCTCGCTGAAGGTAAGGGCTCTCCACCATGGCAACAGGACCAAATGTAATGCCTTTTTCGACCAGTTCTTATTAAAAGAGTAGTTATTTCTGTTAGCCAATGTCATCTAAAGAGAGAAAGCAATATGGAAGGGATCTTAAAGGAACTCCTGGGAAAGATCATAGAAGCTTCTTTCCCACTGAGAAAATACACACACAGGTCTAGTAAGAAGACAGCAAGTTAGCAAGTCATTATGATAAACTAGTTAAGTCAGCCGATTCTTCCTTGTATTCATGAAATTTCAAAAATTTGTTCCCAAATTAAAAGCTTTTTCCAGAAGTACCCCTGTTTCCCCAAAAATAAGACAGTGTCTTATATTAATTTTTTCTCCCAAAGTTGCGCTAGATCTTATTTTCAGGGAATGTCTTATCTTTCCATGCGCTAGGTCTTATTTTTGGAGGATGTCTTATTTTCGGGGAAACACGGTAGTATGGATTAGCATATATGATCTTGACTTACTATTTCAAAATCTTATCTCTAATCTTTTGTATTTAAAAGAGAGGATATTAGCATGCAGTTATATTACCAGGTATTTTCAGTAATAAAAAATGGGAACAACTTTGAAAAACCTAGTAATATGCTGTATTAAAATCTCAAAATTGTGGATAAATAACAATATTATAAAAAAAATTGGAAAATAAAGTCACAGGTGCCACTCTTGGCTATTAATTTAAGGTGTAATCATGGTTGTCTCAGTACAAAAAATAAACAGTGATGTTTAATACCCAATTCAACTGATTTCCCTTAAACTAGACTAGCGAAATAAGCACTATGTTGCCCCAAACACAAAATACTGGGGTATGATACCACAATTTCAATAGTTATAGAATTAAAAAATCAATTTCTTCCGTTGTGTATATTACAGTCTTTACTCTATAAAGGCCTAAAATAACAGCAATATTTTGGTTGGGATTAATCTAAAATATATAAAAAGACAATTTTACCTCCCACTTCCATGGATGCAAATGTAACTGCAAATTTTTTACCCAGTTGTGTAACAACCTAAGGCTTGATCTAAGGCAGCCCGCGGTTGACAGGGAAAAAAGGAAATGATTTTTCTTCACTAGGTAGGTAGAGAAGTTGGGTTAGACACTGAAGAGCAGTAATGCTACTCTTACCCATTCGCTGAAATGGGTCTAGACTCTAGAGGAACAAGTATGAAAAAAATTGAATCATGTTGATTTAAGGGGCCCAGGCAATTGACATATGGAAACAGTCCATTGGAAATGGGGTTCAAGCTCTAAAAAGAGGAATCAACAAATCATGAGGTTTGGGATCGCCAACACTGGTAAGTTCCATTTTTATCTGTGCTGACAAAATTTTGTGTGTCTCTATTTCAATACCCAAGTTTATTTTGTACTACAATCTGCCCCACCCCAGACTGTTACATTTTGAGGTCAAGGATCTCTTACTCATCTAAGCTAGTTAGAAGTTGAGGAGTAATAAAGCATAGTGGTTCAGCAGACACCAACCAGTTAAAATCCGCATTCCACCACTTTGTAGCTGAGAGCAGACAGGCATACTTCTTGATCCATCCCCACTAGAATATACATTTCATGAAGGCATGCTCGTTTTTCTATTTGCTCACCCACACTAAGTACATACTTTATGAAACTTGCTATCTCTCAACTTCCTTATGTGAAATGGTGACAATAATAGTTATCTACTTTTATAAATTTAATTGTAAAGATTAGATTATTTTTTAAGTGCTCGCTGCTAGTTTGATCATCAACAATATCCCTCAGTCTCAGGAAGGATCATCAACAATATCCCTCAGTCTCAGGAAGGAGAACCCAGGGGGAGACTTTCCTAGAAAGTGTTGGCTTGCATTTGAGAAATAACATGCAATCCAAACACTTAGGAAACAAATCTTGCAGGCATGATTGATTGAAGTTTCTCAGGCAGTCTTACTATGTGTTCTTCTTCACAATCTGCTACTCACAGAACATGTACTTAAGCCAAAATGATTGGAGTTAGAGATGTAGCAGTAAGGAGCTGGGTGCCTATCTGAAATGAAACACTTGGTCCAGGTTAGTAATGGAACATCCAATACACAGGGATGTTTGGGGACAGACCCACAAGCAAGGGGAAATATGGATGGACTGCCAAATCACTAAAGGGATTATCAAGAAACATGAACCTTGCCCTAACCTGTTTGGCTCAGTAGACAGAGCGTAGGTCTGCGGAATGAAGGGTCCCAGGTTTGATTCCGGTCAAGGGCATGTTCCTTGGTTGTGGGCACATCCCCAGTAGGGGTTGTGCAGGAGGCAGCTGGTTGATGTTTCTAATTCTCTATCTAATTCTCTATCCCTCTCCCTTCTTCTCTTTAAAAAATCAATAATATATATATATATATATATATATATATATATATATATATATATATATATATATATAACTTTTTTTTCCTACTGACAAGGTGCGGAAATAGAAACAAAGTGCCAAAGAAGAACATAAGGGGCTGCATAAATGTTATCTGACTTAGATGAATCCAAATCATGTTTCCATTCGATTTTTTAAAGCTTCTATGGCCGAGAAACGGATTTGTAACTAGCACTGGAATACTCAGAGTAGAAGAGAAAAAGAAAAAGGAAAAGAAAGAAAAAGGAAGTTTGTGAAGGGGTCAGCGGTCAATTAGGTTAGAAAGTCAGACCAAAAGGGACCACAAACGTGCACACCCAACCCCGCTTTCACGTCTTCACTTGCCAAACTTGAGGGGCGCGTCCACCTGCACGGACGCCTGGGGGTCGATGGTGTCAGCCTCGATGGCCACCTCCTTCAGCGCCTCGTCGTACCGAACGCGCAGGCCGGCCGGGTCCCGCGCGCCGCCCTCCACGCCACTCAGGGCGACCAGCACGTGGTCGGCGTCCGGGTGGGCGAGGGGGTCCAGGGGCCGCACGGCCAGGTGGCAGGGCAGCCGCGCCCGCAGCCGGCCGAACGGGCTCACCGGCAGCGCCCACTCCCGCAGCGGGCGGCGCGCCGGGCCCGGCGGCGGCCAGACCTCGGGCTCGGACCCCGGCCGGCGCTCGCCGCCCCCCGAGCCGTGCAGCCGCCGGGCCTGACAGCGCCCAGCAGCCTCGCCGGCCCACATCACTCGGAGGGGGTGACCGAGCCGGAGGCAGCCGAGCCCCCGGCCCACGCGGGGGGCGATCATGGCGCGCCCCTCTCACGCCCTCAGGTGTCACTTCAGCCACAGGCCGGTCTCACCACCACCAGGCGGCCCGGCACTGCGCCGGCTCAGGTCAAAACAGAGACGTTTGCGGGGATTTGCTGAAGCAGAGCAAGACTGCTCAGCGTCCCTAGGGATTGACACCTCAACAGCACACGCCCCGAAGTTGCAATTTCAAAGCTGTATGTTTCCTCCCGGACCCGGACTTCTCGCTTACCATCTCCCCTTTCGCAAAGGCAGACGGGATAGGTAGTTCTAAAGGGAGCCAACAGCGAGGGTTCAGGGTCGCTCAGAAACTACATATCCCAAGAGGCAATGTGCAAGGTGTTAGCTTGTGCTCGGGGGCGGGAGTACTTCGCCTCAAAGCCATTAGCCATTGGCGGGACGGAAAGATGGATTACGTGACAGTTCAGCTGGCCAATGGGAAGCGCGGAAGGGGCAAGGTGGGCAAGGCTGTGTGGTTTCCTTGGATACCGAGGACGCGACTTCTTTGGAGAGGATGGAGCTTTAGAAAGAGTCTTGAAGGCCATAACCCACAGAGACACAGGAGCTTAAATAAAGATCAGTAACCGAGGGAAGGAGTGAGAGACTGCGAGTTTAAAGGTGAGAGCTAGATGCAAACGAGGAGTACCCTCAGTGGGTGGTTAGGTCCAAACTTCACTAAACCGGAACGGGGTACGTTGGGATGGAGAACCCCTTTCAAGAGGATGAAAAGCCAGATTGGGACTCTGAGGAAGCAGAATAAATTGGAATAAAGTTAGAGTCCTACGTCATTCTGACTCTAAATGACCTAGGGGCCAGTCATGGGACGTCTCTGTGTTTTAATTGCTCGCTTTTAAAATGAGGTTAAAAATACCTTCCTTGACTTGCCTCAAAAGGGTTTTTGTAAGGATCAAATTACAATAATGGACAGACCATTTCTGTCCTATATTTTTATTTTAGGGATAGCATTAACTCTTAAGTTACCAAGAAAAATCTGAGAGTTCAGGACTTGTGTTGACAGCAGCATTGATCTCTTGTCCGCAAATAATCTTTGGTTTTAGGACTAAAAATACAAAAAAAAAAAAAAAAAAGAGTCAACATAATGCAATGGGAAGAACATGGGACTGATTGCCTGACTCTGTCACTGATTTATCTGTGTCGCTTGGATCTGTTTCTTCAACCTTAAGATGAAGAGGGATTTGTACTGAATGACTCTATGAGGTCTCTTTTACCTTTTATTATTCCGTGGGTAATTTAAAAGATGAAAAAGACATTTTTTTTATCCTTTTCTGTTTATTTTTACCTTTCAATGCCATTTCCTCCTCCTACAAATTATTCCCTAAGTTCTCAGCAAATACACACTGCAAACAATGATGTTTAGTATAATGCAAGTGCAGAAGCAGGATACCTTAAAGAAATTGAAACCCTTGGCCAAGTGCAATAACTAGAATTACGGGGGTGGGGGGGTAGGGGGGTGGGGGGGTGGCTATCATGATAGAGATGGGCTAAATTCCTCATGTTGTGGGCTAAAGTCTTTAAAAGGCCCAAATTACAGGGTTCTTCGCTACCAATTACCTTTTTTAAGTTTTAGATTTTCTTAAATTATTCTTTTCTCCTTTCTATGCTAGTCATTCTTCCCTCTTCCTCACAATAATATTAGCTTTTAAGTTTTCCAAGTTCCCACTGAGAATCATTCTTGGCTTTTGTGTCATTTGGTCATAATTATTCAGATTGATCTTCAAACTGTCTTTAAAAAAAAAAAAAAAAACCCATGGGGAAAACTTTGAAAAAGAAGTCGAAAAAGGTGTTGGTTTAAACAAGTTGAGAATGCATTCAAATTTGTTTTACACATGCCATATATTTTTAGATTAAATAGACACTTCTAATAGATCATTTTGTTTCTATGGTAATTTCTTTTCTGAGACAAACCAAGTAAATGGAATTGGCAATTGACCCTGAATTGCATATATGGGAAAATGATTATTTTATTATTTTGATGTAAATACAATAAAACTAAAGATAATTGAAAAGTTACTTTTCTGATCGCATAAGTTTCAAAATGGAGAAAATTATTGATAATTAAGATTAATGCAAGATATTAAAAAGTGATTGATACTGGCCGGTGTGGCTCACTTGGTTGGAATGTCATCCTGTGCACTGAAATGTGATGGTTTTGATTCCCAGTCAAGGCACGTAATTGGTTGAGGGCTCTGATCCCCAGTTGGGGAGCATAGGGAAGGCAGTCAGTCTTTTTTCACATCGATGTCTCTCTCTCTCTCTCTCTCTCTCTCTCTCTCTCTCTCTCTCTCTCTCTCTCTCTCTCCATTCCTCTCTCTTAAAAATCAATGGAAAAACATATCCTCAGGTGAGGATTTAAAAACAAGTTATTGATACTTTTAAAAATCTAATGATTTATATATCAAATCTGGCTGCATGTTAATAATGACTAATAAAAATACTACCTTCCATCTGTATGACATTATGGTTTTCAGAGCATGTTTACATGTATCATTGCAGGGTAACCTCACAAAACACTGTTTATCAGGGCAAGTATTATTATCCTCACATTAGAGATGAGGAAACAAATTAAAAAGGTTTAAAATGAAGCAGTTAAAAGGTCTGGCCCTTTTACCACTTTATCAAAAGATCTTATCTTCTTGACACCTTTGGGGGAAAAATATTCATCAAATAAGTAGAGAGTCATATATAAATGTCCCCCCTTATTTTGAATTTACTTGTAAGATATTTTTACATCTTCAAATTTTTTTTATAAAGTTGTTCCTGTGGTCATGAACATATACCACTGGTGGGAATGTAAATTATTACAGCATTTCTAGGGGCCAGTTTAGCAATATACATAAAACACCTTAAAATGTGTGTATCTGTGACCTAGATATTGGGCTTTTTGGAATTTAATATAAGCATAAAGTTAGGGATGTTAAAAAAAAACACTTTTGTTCAAGGAATTTAAATGTTAAAAAATAGGAGGGTGTTACAGAAATTAGTATATATCTGGAATACTATGCAATAATTTAAAATTATATTTTGAAGACTAGTCAAAGATATAGGAATTTTTCCATAATATAATTGAAAAGGGAAAGTCTACAGTTTTCTTTGTGTGTGTGTGTGTCCTTTACCCTCACACTACAAAAGATGAAAAAGACATTTTTTTAATCCTTTTCTGTTTATTTTTACCTTTCAATGCCATTTCCTCCTCCTACAAATTATTCACAACACTTTACTTCTGACACTCTGGTCACCAAATGTGTGAGGCCTCTCCCATAACAAGCAATTCTCTGTGAGACCAGCCTCGTGTCCTACCATTAACTCAACTGTGAGACTATCTACCTGGAGATAATATCACATCGCACAGGTCCAGGGCTCAGTCCCACCAGACTGCTTGCACCCACTTCAGATGCCAATCATAAATTGTAGGTCCCTTGGTTACCCACAACCTCTGTCTGATTTGGCCACAAATTAGAGATTCCCATGACCCTCTCATTAATTTGCTAGAATGGCTCACAGAACTCAGGGAAACATTTTACTTTCATTTACCAGTTGATTAGGGGATCTGATAAATCCCCTAATCAACTGATATACAGCCAAAATGAACAGATATTTACTGCTAGGTCTAGGAGGGTTCTGAGATCAGGGGCTTCTATTCCTGTGGAAATGGGGTGCATCACCCTCTTGGAGTGTATATGGTCCCTGTAGAGATGGGGCACACCACCCTCTCGATATAGGTTGGTATGGAACCCCAAGACGGTGACTGACGCACCCCATCTCCACACAGATAGAAGAAGGTCCTGCTCTCAGTAATAGTAAGTGAAAAGGGTAGAACACCAAATTGTATGTCTAATATCCCAATTTTGTAATAATAATAATGATGGTATTTTAATATAAAATCATATTTTAAAATATATCCCATAGAAACAATTTCAAAGGAAAACACACAACTTGATAACAATTGTTATCTCTAAGTAGTGAGATTATGAATTATTTCTTCATTTTGTGTGTGTTTTTTCAGTAGGAAACACTATATTTTTAATTTAAAATACTAACTAATTTTTTAGTATATATTGCTTCCTAAGAGTGACTCAATATGTAAATTCCCATGAATGTTTTACTTTATTTAATAATTTATATTCAGTAAATGAACAGCAGAGGGCATGAGAGAATTTTCAGAAAAAATGTAACCTAAACAAGGATTATGGAATTCAGCTTCAAGTGAGGGAAGCCCTAGGAATTTGCTAATTTTCTTAATTATAAACTTTAAAAATAAATATATCTTATGAGTTTTTATGAAACCTTAATAAACTCAATAATAATAATAAACTCAATCTGAATTTCTACCTAATAGTACTAAAAAGTATTTAATGTATAGGTAGGTAGTCCCCATTTGAAACTTGCATGTTATAATATTTGTATCTGGGTAGAGATGTACAGGAAAAACTTTGTTATTTAATGTAGTCAAATTTCTCCACTTTATATACCTTGAAAAGTTACCTAGGTTATACATATCTCAGGAAGATTCTTGAGGTAGAGGGATGTAGTACTATTTACATTAAAGCAGTGTGTGTGTGTGTTAGATAGTATTGATTGCACCCTGGCCAAGTGGCTCAGTTGGTTGGAATGTCGTCCATATACCAAAAGATTGTGAGTTTGATTCAGTCAAGGCACATACTTAGGTTTCAGGTTTGATCTTTGGTCGAGGCAACCAATGGATGTTTCTCTCTATCTCTCTATGTCTCACTCTCCCCCCCATTCCTCTCTTTCCTAAAAAAAAAAAAATAAATAAAAATAAAATAAAATAAAATAAAATAAAATAAAAAATAAAAAATCAATAAAATAAAAAATCATCCAGTGATGATTTTTTTTTTAAAAAAGACAGTATTTATTGCAACCACAGCATTGCAGTAAATTTAAAAGCTTCCTTCAGATTAGAGTTCTTGTAGTGCTAATGTTTCATTCAATTTCTACAAGGTAGCAATCGTGTTTCAACC